CTTCTTCTTCTTCTTCTCTCTCTCTCTCTCTCTCTCTCTCTCTCTCTCTCTCTCTCTCTCCCTCTCTCTCTCTCTCTCCTCTAGCTCCCTGCCTCCCAACCTCTCCTCCTCCTCCTCTCTGCGCTCACGTCTCCTCTCTCTCTCTCTCTCACTCTCTCTCTCTCTCTCTCTCTTTTTCTGTGCCTTCGCACCCTCCCCTAGCTCCCTGCCTTCCCGCCTTCTCCTCCTCTCTGGCACTCTTCTCCCTTGTTACCGTCTTCCCCCGAACAAGGCACCCTTATAAGGTATGCATACAAGCTACATTTCAGGTCAGGTACAGCCAAAATGACGATGCGTTCTGTTCGGGGGAAGATGGTTGTCGGCTCCGTTCTCTGCTCGTCTCAAGCTCTCGGTGCCCATGAGAGGCCTATCGTTTCCTCCTTGTCTCTAGCTCGTCGCTCTCCTCTCCCTCTCCCTCCCATCTCCCCACCGCTCTCTCTCTTATCTCCTCGACTTTCGCTTTCACGCACTTCTTTGTTCTCCACTCTCTCTCATATCTCTTGTGATAGATATCTCTCCCCCCCCCCCCCCCCCCCCCTCCCCTCTTGCGTTTGCAAGCTTTTGTTTCTTTTTCTTTTTTTGACGATTTTTGTTGTTGTCCGTCTCTGCAGTACTACGGTAGTGTTTCTCTCGCCGTTGGTTTTGTCTTTGCAACAAGGCGCCCCTAATTCTACTAGAGTGAAGTGCGGCGTTCCTGAGGGCGTGCTCACTCTAGCTCTGTCTTATATGTATATGGCTGGATTTACGGAAGGACCTAGATGCACCTGACCGTGATTACGTCCATGTACAAGTCAAGAATTGCTGCGATAATTAGGCCCTGAGCTTTCTTATTGGAAACGAGAGTTCGATTCGAACTGCCAACTCGGCTGCCTTCGTCTTTCGTCTTTTCCCGAATAGAACGCACCCTCAACGTGAATGTATACAAGCTATCTTTCCGGCTGGATACAGTCGTGATGAGGGTGCGTTGTGTGTGTGGGGGGGAAGAGGGTGGGCGGATGTGTGGAAATGTAGACTCGCCGCTTCTCAGGTGGACGACCACCGTCTTGTCTTCCGCCGAATAGAACACGCGAGGTGTTCTTTTAGCTGTATTTGGCGCTACTTCGGTCCAGATGCAGCGATAATGACCGTACGTTCGAACACACACGGTTTTCTTGTACCTGTATTTGGCGCAACTTCCAGTCCAGATGCAGAGATAATGACCGTACGTTCGAGTGCGGGGAAGACGGCAGTGGGGCGAGCAAGGCGCATAGGAAGAAGGGTGACGAAGGGGGCGGTGGGGGGAAGGGGGGGGAGGTTTGTTGAGATTGAGGAGCTTGAGGGTAAAAGGACTCGGAAGGAGGGCGGGTAAGAGGTGAGGCATAGGAGAGGGAGTTGGGGGAAGGAGGCGGGCATAGGAGAGGGAGTTGGGGGAAGGAGGGGGAGGGGGAGGAAGAGGGGAATGAGTGAGTGATAAGGGAACGCTGGAGCAAAAGGAATCGGAAGGAGGGCGCGAAAGACGCGGGGATTAAGAGAGGGAGTTGCGGGGAGGGGGAAGGGGAAGGGGAGGGGGAAGGGGAAGGG